TTTTCCCTGTGCTATTCAAATAGGTAAAAGCATTTATTTCCAGTTAAACATACAACGGAAATTTTTAAACATCAATTTACAATTAAACCTTAAAACAATAATAATGATAATAGTAGTGATGTACTAAATCGTTTGAAATTACAAAATCTCAAGTGATTTTTATAGCTCTTAAATGAAACTAAAACGATAACGAGAATATTTACTTGAACAAAATACAAAAGTGTAGATATACGCAGAAATAACTAGAATGGTTGAATGTATGTTACCAATAACAATTGAATGTGGAATTCGATTTAAAAAGGGAACATGAAAACCATGAATCAGCCTTAAATCAAATGATGCTATCATTTATACGACGAATATCGGAGTGAATAGACTTAGCGATGTAGTCGCCTTACCAATTAGCATTTAAATTCAGGAGCATTAAAACAGAATGGTAGAAAGATTATTGTGATGAATGTATCCTTATATAAACTAATGTTGATTTCCATGTGCGATGTCAGTTATACACTAGATTGGGATTTTATGTAAATGAAACGAAATGAATGAAGCCTTTTACGTCAACTCAGTATATTCATTGAGTTTGTACACTTTGAAGCAATCAAAAAGTTTACTAACACTTTGAACACAAACTAAAGTTACAGAATCTCACATTTAATAATCTGTTAGCAAAAAAATTCGACTTTTGGATGCAAAAGGAGAGCATTATAAACAGAATATTTTCTAGACAACAGTACTCTAAGAGGCGTTACCGTGCTTCTACTCTTAAAATCATTTTATGCCATTTTTTCTTACTCACTTATACAAACTGTTTGGCATTTATCTTATTTTACTTTCACGTGCTTCATATAGTTTCACAAACTAATATTTAGTCGAACATAAGGTTGACTAGTATTGACATTATTATTTATTCCGAATTTTGATTCGACAAATCTAATTGATCTACAAACAAATTAAGATATAAACATTACGTACGATTTCTTTTAACATATACAAAAGTTATCAAACTAATTTCCTCAATAACCTTAAACCCAGTTGTGTTTTGCTATTAGGGTTCGGAACAGCTTACGATGCTAGGAATTTAGGGACGAAAACAAGTGAGCTTCTCTAATACGACAGGTTCTCTTCGTAACTGCCAACAGTCAATTATACTCAACACATCAAACTTCAACGGATAAGACAGGAAAAAAACAAAATTGCAGGTAACTTTATATATGTGGTAGGACAAGTAACCCGAACGAAATTGGCGCAAATGTTGTTACTATGGTAACAGAATATGACCAAGCACGTAGCAATTTAGAGAACTAAAGAAAACATGATAACCAATTAGAGGGCGATGGTCATACGGAAAATCGAATTGGTAGAAGGTATGCGAGCGATTATCGTTCGAGAAGAGATCTTAGCCCATCTAATAAGACCTGACAATTCTTGCGACCACCTTGGCAAACCTATAGTCATTGTTATTAAAAATGTATTTACCTAAAATGTCATTATTAAATTTGAGTTTGTAGTTGTAGAGTATGATAAGAATTTACCTAAACAAATATTGGTTATTTAAATACCCATGTTTAGAAGTTTGGTTTTTTTATTAGGTGTTTCCATTGTTATATATTCTCCAACAATTACCATTATCGATGTATCATTTTCTTTACATTTGAATTTCCCATTACAATATAACATCAGTTAAAGAGAGATGGACTATGAATAGTATGAAAAGAAATGAAATGTAAGACAGTCATTTTGCCCTAGTTTTCGACTTCACAGTGGTAACCAATGGAATAAAATGTCGGTTGATAGTTGGAAAATCTTTAGTTTCTTTTTAAGAAAAACCTTAATTGCTTAGAAATTCTGCCAGTTATTGACAATACCTTATATGAGCTTTTTTTTCAAATTCTGTAATAAAAAGAAAACAAATTCCCTATGCATAGCAGGAGATTTAAAATAATAATGTAGAAAGCTGTTTTTTTATACTACCATAAATCATTTAAAATGTCGAAATTTGTAGTGCATATAATAACACCATATAACATAATTCTATGCGTAAGACAAACAGGTAGATAGAATGAATGACAATAATTATTGATCACTAGTTGATGTGACCTTATAGAAGTTGATTAGCGTATTAAATGAAATACAAATACACACTTTGTTTTAGGCAAGATATATGATTTCAATGATAATGGTAATCATTAAGCTCTTACTCGTAAACAATCTTTCATATTATAAACCATTCATTGGGATTTTTTTTGGGAAAAGTTTGAATTCTTGGAAGTATTTTTCTGCTTATTAAGTTAACATTGTGAACACTCAAGATACACGTTTAACCATAGCATATCGTCAGCTTACTATTATTTTAAATATGGAAGATGGCTTTTGTAAAACTAGCTAGTGATTCAAAAGTTTATTTATTACTTTGGTTTTCTTTCCTAATCTATGATATCTGCATCCCACTCAAATCAGGAATCGTTTGGTTTCTATAAGCATAACAATTGTATAAAGTCATAAGTATACATTTCTGACGAGCCCTAGACGAAAAATAGACAGGTATTCAATGCTACAGTGAGTCTGTTCGAGAGTATACATATTTTCAAACTATACAAATCACTGAAAAGCGTAAGCAATACTGTTGAAACCGAATATGGATACATTTATTTGTTGACTTGACTTAATTGCTAAAATTTTGATTAAAAATAATTTGCACATTAAATCAATACTAACCTCACTTCTACTAAAACAAATGTAACAAGGGACCAATAGTTGACCTGACATTTGATCCGTTATCGGCAAGTAACATGACAAAACAAATGGTTAGAAATGTCAAATAATTTTAGTGAAGTTTTATTCGCTAAGCTGGATGGTTTAGTCTTGGAGCTGTCATCGTTCTTCCGGACATCATTAGCACAAACTTCAGGTAGGAGTGAAGTGTCTTGTAGACCTCGATCTTAGTTGATCATTATTGATCTTTAACTTGTCACTGTTCACTTCCTTATTTTGGTTGTACCTCTCTTTCATTTGATTCTTGGTCCTATATTTGCCCATAGTTTTTTGATTGATTGATAAATTGGATCGACTTCAGTGTGTTTGTTGACTGACCTGAGTGCCAAGCCTCTAAAAATTCCCTGGTGCTTTTGGTATGCCCTCGATCTAAGATCTCAACATTTTCCCAGTTCAACGTATGTCCACATCCATTGATATAAGCGAAAATGTCATGGCGTTTAACCGCTAATTGATGTTCATGCAGGCGTAGATGAAGAGGCTGTCCGCTTTGTCTGATGTAGTGCTTTTCATAGTTAAAACAATTTATTTTGTAGATGTTCAACTTTCCTTAATTTGTCATTACGACTTTTAATTTGCATGGGATCGATTGAAGTGATTTTAATTTGTGTGTTAACCTATTTCAAAAAGCTTCAACAATCTCTTAATTTCTGATATGCCTTTTATATATGGTAGGATGATCCGTTTGTTGGTTTCTGTACCTGATTTTGTTTCTGCTAATGCTTTTGTTTGATTTTTTTGACGAACTTGATTGGGTAGCCGTTCTTTTGAGTCTTTATATTTTTTCTTCATTTTTCCGCGGCAGCAACAACCCTAGAACATATAAAATCAACTGCGTACAACCTGTATTCGAGAGGGCGAGGACAGTGCAGCACGGAACTGTCATTTGCAACTAGATCATATCAATATTGGCTCGATTAATAACGACTAATGGCAATCATGAATTTCCAATGAAACAAACTTTTGTATGACGTGCTAACAGGCATAAAATTAATAATTATTACGACAGTCGAAATTCAGAAGTCTATTCATCCCCGATAGGTAGTGAGTCAGAGATAACTCATGGCCTGGCACAAGTGCATTATCGTCCAAGTTACCACACATTGCAAATAAATTGAAGCGATGAAAAGTAAGGAAACTAAAATAATAACTGTGGTGGAGTGCCAAAGATAGAAGATATAATCCGGAAGAAAAACATAATATTGAATTAAACGTATGGAATTACACTAAACTAGAAATTTAGAAAACGAAAGGTAAAACACTGACGCAAACCAGTCCTGAAGCAACATTTCTAACTCAGACGAACAGAACTGAATCCCAAATAAACTTGCGTTGCTACTGAAGACCCAAAAAAACCGAATTATTTCAAAATCCTCGTCAAAAAGAACTACGTCATCTCAGCACTTAACGTTGATGGGATCACTCTCCAAAAAGCAGAGATTCTGACAAAACAACCATTTGACTACACCATTAGGAACTTGTTTGAATATCTAAACTGTTGCTGAAAATTTTAATTCTTATTTATTCCACAAACGTTCTCTGAATATGTTGATTTTAATCCCAAGGCTTTTTTTCTCCACTCATGAACATTTTAATAAATCATGGTTTGAACACAAACTAAACAACTCACATCAATACAGTAGTATTCGATGGAATTTAGGTTTTTTTTTTAAAACAATCAGTTAAATGAATTTCATCACCGACCCATCAACTGATAACGATACAAAAAGTAATCCATACAACATAAACTGAAATTCACAGTTTGATCTACCTCCAAAGGTCATATACAGAAAAATTCTTATTTTGGTTGACAAAAAGAAAGTTAGTTAACTGAAATAGCAAATGTTATTAAGGAATTTGAACATTTAGGGAAGGATATTTATTGATTTAAAAACCACCTAGTAGGAATTAAACTTTTCATTCATTTCCAATGTTGTTGAAAACAAATGACACGTCAATCATTTTCCATCAAAATGTTATATACAAACCAATGTATATTTAGTTCAGATTTACTATAAAAATGCAATAATGTTATCCAGTTTAGAGTCTATCAGTACAAAAATTGTAGCATATATATATATTCTTTAAAAACTAGACAATAAGGAAAAATTACATTCCTTTTAACAGAAAAGTAATAATAATAAAGATTTACAAAAATATCCGGAGCGTTTAAGTACACTTATACAAACAATAAGATATGAGAGGAAAACAATCTATAGATATTATTAACGATGAACAAATGCACCCGGTGAAGGTAAGTAACGAAGAGGACGACTTCTTGTTGGATACCTATTAGAAGAAAAAATAATTTTTTAATAGTTACAACACAGAAGAACATGTTATCTATGAAGCATTCAAACTGAATTCAATTTAATAAATAGAATATAGGTCATACATATACACAAATAAAACTGACATAGTAAACTATCAACCTAAAATGTGGGGAAAAAAACTATTTGTTAAAAAGAGATTTCTGTTCATGTATGATTAATTTAAATAAAAGATTTTTTTTAAATAAATAATTCTAAACCATAAAACCTACCATAGATAAAAAGGACATTAACTGGAGGAGTACACTATATAAGATTGTTTATTAAGATATAAATAGAGTAGGGTTTTTTTACACCCGATATACAATCATAAAAATAAGTTCATAACTTTAACGTTCAAACACTGAAACACAAAATATTCAGACAAAAGTATACATTTAACCTCATAGGTTGTTCTGTTGATCCCAGGCTTCTTACTGTCATTATTTTATAAGAAAGAGAATATTGTTTAGCAGTAACTAGATGTTGTGTCTCTGCCTTCAACTCAAAAGTGAATTCTGACTACTAGACTCTAAGGTATATCTACACTTAGTGAAATTTTGAAATCGTTTAAGGAACACTTAAGTAAAATTCTGAACTTAGATGTTAACATAGAGAAACTGACTGGTTAGAAGGAGAATACTCTGTGAATCAACGAGCGAATCTACTCGCTATTTTTAAAGCTGCTTGTAAATGTAACGAATATATACCAACTTTTGTCAACAGGCTGGTAGCTGTCCTTGAAATTTGCTCCATTTAACAAATTTTGGGAACGAATTTATTTGGAAATTTACTAACAGCTGATTTTGATTTAATTAATACAGTATATATATTGTACAAATGAACAGTTAAATGAAATAAAATCAACTAATCATGTTCCATAAACGTGTTAGATTGTACCCAACAGATTAAGATACAAGATCCGAAGTTTGTATACAATTCTTCAGTGTGAGAACCAAGAGACTTCATGAGGAAAAATATTTATCACAACCTTTTACGATTGTACTTATTAGTATAGTTTTAAATCTAGTAAGCTACTGCTTTATTTTGTACAGAAAATGTTGACGAACATAATAAATGTTTAAGTGTATAACTTTCATCCAATAGGCTAAGGGTTCGAAATTAAAACTACCAAAATGTTAGACTAATAATTTCATTATTTAATCATACTCAACATGATATATTCAAAGTAGTCTCAGACTTGACCCATAAGTATTTAGGCTCGAGGAGTGATTAAACAATATGAAAATTTCAAAGTTTATTCCCATATCACCAAGAAGATATGCAAAATACCAAACAGCATAGAAAAAATGTTTACTTACCTAACAGAACGAACACATGAACTGTTTGTTGATTTCAACAAATTTTTCCAAATTATTTGATCACGACATAATGCATCGATACAAGCAGCACATCTAGCTAACTGACAAGATAATATATTTCGATTCCATTTACTTAATCCGACACACTGATTACCATTATAAAACGACTTATCGGAATTTATAATATTATTAGAAGTAATATCATTAGTATTACCAACATAGTTTACAACCGTATGACTATTATTTTGATTTATAGATGAAGTGAAAAATTCTTGCCAATAACAGTTGACTTCAGTTTCTAATTCCTGAGGTACGGGGATTTTTTACAACAACAACAACAACAAAAAGTTAACTGAATTATTTTAACAACTTGAAAATATTAACTGGTTTTCATAAAAGAAAATCACAGAATAAATTTGCGATGTGAATTCGTTCATTTCTAAATATTTACAGATTATATGAAATCACTTAATAAAAGCATATAATCGGTAATAATTTCGTTGAATAATCATTGGTTACTTTATGAGTCTTACTTTAAACTATTCATATAAAAATGAAAACCCACATATGTGGATATATACAGAAATTATGTAATAATAATTTTTCCACAACTTTTAGACAAATCGATCTATACATAACAAATATTTACTTAGATTTATGATAACATTTTTTTGTAATGCATAATGTTATTACAAAGAGATTATTTATAAATGGTAATATTAATTTAATTATTGGGGTAGCGTGACTACTGACAAATTTCATCTAAAACCACACAAAAAATATAAACAATTAATTTTATGAAAAAAGTATGCAACTGTTATTTGTCATTAACTGAAACTTTGAGACTTTGTTAACAATCTTAAGTATGTTTAAAAACGTTGTGAATTTCTGTTTAACTCATATGTAATTAGTATGAAAGATTTGTGGACCAACATCAGCTCGTGATTTCAACTGTAAAAATACTACAATCTCCATAAATCCCTCATACTAATAATAGTCATGTGCTCACTAGTGACTACGTTCAAGATGTTATTCTTAGGGTTCTAGTGAGAAGCTGTGATCAGTTGAGTTCAATCCGTGTCGAGTGTGAGACAGTTATTCACCGAAGACAATAGATTAAGGGTTGTAAAAATCATGGATTCGTTGGAATTAGACATGAATACCGTCGGATGCCGGCTCAGTGGTCTAGAGGTCGAGCGTTCGCATCCATGAGCACTGCTAAGGAGTCTCACATAATTTCCCAGATAGGTATTAATGTGATAAATATACAATCTTAGATTTCTTTTTGAGTGTGGCAAGCCACATAAATAAGTAATACATGTACGATATTGATGTAACAACATAATAAAGCATGTGTCAAATACATAGGTAGGAATTATTTACCATCCCGGTGACTCAGTATATAGAAATACAAATTTCAGTGTTTTGTTGTTGGGTCGTTTTGTAAAACAAATATTTTAAAAAATGGACCTCAACTGAAATGATAATCAGTTAAATTTAACAATAATTAATAAATAATTAGAAATTACCTGTATATGAAGATCAGATAAGTCAGTGACAACATCCTCCGTATTATGTGTACCACTGGGACTGACAAAATTGATTAGACCGTCCATAATTAGTAATGGTGCTTTATGTGGATACTGAGGTGGGATACAGACCCATACAGTGACAAAATCTGAAAAAGTAAGCCAAAATATACATGAGCTATGAATTAAGAATAAATTCTACGAATAAATTGAAGAGTCATACAGGAGGATCAGTTAGAATGAAGTCCAATAACAACCATGTAATACTCAGCGACAAGACATACTTATGTGAGAAAAAAGCGGTAATACTTTGCTTAACCTAATCAAAGTTAGGTTTCAACCGAAAAGACGAGTGTTTAAAGTCTTACGTTATCTAGTCAGATGTTCAATGTATAATTCTATCCGTTTCAATTCAATTAGTGAACTACGAATGTCAGCAGACACACAGAACTGTGACCTACACACTAGCGCAGGATTTGGATCATATGATTAAAATTCCTTAGTAATGAAAAATTTGGAAAAATATCACATAGAAAATATAAGGTAAAATCATGTTAACCTACAGTTTTCATCTCTTCCAATGTGACACTGGAATACTGAGTCTTCAGAACGAATTACATTTAAAGCTATCATAACCTGAGCACGAGGAACGGACTATAAACAAAAAAATAAAAATAGAGCCTTAAAAGATGACCAATGTAGATAGACATTAACAAGAATGACGAATAACAATTTAAACACACTTAACATTTACATATTGGACAGTCAGTTCCATCAAAATAATTCACGACAATTAGTGCTAGTATGTATGTATTTGAAGTTGCTAATCATATGAATGTGTTTAAAAGTATAACCAAGTGACCGTAAACTGTACTTTGAACAGTTAGTTGAAGTCATTTAACAATAATGAAAGTAACCGTTAGGATACTACTAAACATGATAATAAACGAAAATGTTTTAATTGTTGTAATTGGAGTTAAATATATGATCATCAATACTATCAAAACCAACACATAATACTATACATTGAAACAAAACATTTTTTCACATAAAGTAAACAATATTTGGTTAACAAGCGACTACTAAACCTAATATACAACAACTTCATAAAAATAAATCACCTGTAAAGTTTCAAAATCAGAATTCTTCCACCGAATAATGTGAAGTTCAACATCAGAGGGGATTAACTGTTGTTGCTCGGGTGATAACAACAAGTTGCAGCGTTCAATTTCTGAAAGCTAATTTTGCAAACAGTAAAAGCAGTAACAATGAAGGATTGAGGGAACACGACGGAAAAATTATCATTCGAGTGTAGTGAAAGCAATTACAAAAGTCTAGATTTATCAGGATTAGTTCCTATTTGAACTCGATTGTTAAGTTTACAATTATAATGTATTCTCAATACATAGATTCTGTCTCCTAGTTTGATACTTCGAACTACTTATGAAACCATCCTATTTTAATGAAAATTTACGAAAAGTATTATCCTGAATCTAGTGCATTTAAAATAACTCCACCCTTTAAAAAATGATGTTACAAAATTAATTTAACAAGCCCGATAATATGTCTCATTAAGTAAATTACCTTAATTCGTACATTCAATATGAAATACGATACTCCAACGTACTCAACGTACTTGAGGTCCTTTCTTATCGTTTTTTATATTTTAATTACTAATGTTAGTGATTCCCTGTTAGGTTTAAGAATACCTTTGGACAGATAGAAACTACGTTGTGACAGTTATAATAAACCTAAATTTTAGCCATTAGTGAATAAATGACTTCATAATGTACATAGTTTGATATGATACACTTCCGTACTACTTACTGCTTGACAGTAGTCTATACTTCATGACGAAAAATAGGTTTAGCAGACTAAGAAATCCCTGACTCCGTCTCTTACTCTTCTAGGTTTACTGCCGATTCCAAGCCCGTGTAAAGGAGGAGGGTTAGGCATGGGGTCAGCAACCCCATCCCGTAGAAAAAAATCCTTCTAGAAAAAGGCCAACCATAAAAAACAATTTAAACCATTTAAACTCTGTCTTGGGAGTTGAAGGAAGAATTATGACGCCTCGGGAAAAAAGCCCAGATTCTTCAGAAGTCACGAGGCTGATGCCCCTTTTAACAACCACAGCAACAACTAGTATAGGTACATAGGATGTTCGAACAATGTGGGAGACTGGGAGGACTAATCAAACGGCTACGGAAATGAGGAGATACAACTTGACGGTGCTCGGAAAACGTGAAACCTATTGGACACAAGCTAGACAGAAAAGGTTAGTTGTGGCTGTACTCTGGTCACGAAGAGGAAGATGCTTCACACATTCAGGGAGTTTTTTCTGATGCTGTCCAACGAAACACGTAAAGCACTTGTAGGGTGGGAATCTCATGAACCCAGGAACATCAAAACATCCTTCAAAATAAAGGAGTCACGATGTTATCTAACGTTATGCACCCACCAATCATAGCAACGACGAGGATAAAGATCAGTTCTACTAGAGGCCGCAATCAATCATAGCGAAGTGCCCAAGAAAGGATCTCACTATCCAGATGGGAGACCTAAACATCAAAGTCGGAATGGACAACACCGAGTATGAAGATATTATGGGAGATGGACTGGGAGAGAGAAATGAAAACGGGGAGAGATCCGCAAACCTATGTGCATTCAATAAAATGGTTAGAGGTAGCACAATATCCCCACACAAACGCATACACAAAGCTACATGGGTCTCACCGGATCACACCACAGAGAACCATAAAGATCATATCTGTATCAATATAAAATTCAGAAGAACGCCCGATTGTGATCAAGATGAAACTGAAGCTAAAGAGGCATTGGACAACTGGGGAAACAGCATTACAAAAGTTCAATAAAGCCTTCCTATGAGGTACTAACAAACTCAACTAATTCAAGATAACTCTCAACAACAGGTTCCCAGACTTACAAGATTTACTCAAAGAAGAAACTACTATCAAGGACAGCTGGAAAGGGATCAAAGAAGCGTTCACTTTAATGTGTCAGGAGGTGCTGAGCCGCAAGTAAGATCATCATGCGAAATGGATCTCTATCGAAACTCTGAACACAATTTAGGAAAGGAAGAACAAGAAGACGGCAATCAAAAACAGCTCAACAAGAACACAGAAAGTCAAGGCACAAGTTGAATACACTGAAGCAAACAAGCAAGTGAAGAGGAGCATTAGGACTGACGAGCAAAAATACGTGGAAGCGCTAACAACAACAATAGAAAAAGCTGCAACGTAAGGAAATATGAGATAGCAATGACACAACGAAGAAACTGACAGAGAAATTCAGTAAACCAGAAAGAGAGGTCAAAGACAAAGAAGGGAAGACAATTAACGAGATTCAAGAACAGATGAATAGATGGATAGAATAATTCGAAAAACTCTTAAATAGACCAGCTACACTGGATCCACCAGACATCGAAGCAACCACCTACACACGCAAACACCTTCCTACACATGTCACTCCACAAACCAACGAGGGAATCAGGATGACCATCGGTTAAATCAACACTAGGAAAGCAGTGAGACCTGACAACATATCACCTGAATCACTAAAGTCACACATACAAACAACTGCAAGCATGCTCCACATTCTATTCAGGGAGTTTCAGGAAGATCCGAGAAGAAGAACAACAACAAGTGCCGACAGACGGGAAACAAGCATATCCCATCAAGATATCAAAGGAAGGAGATCTGAGCAATTGTGAGAAGTACACAATCATCACACTGATATCAGTGCTAGGAAAGCATTTCAACAGAGTGTTGCTGAACCGGGTGAAACATTCAGTGTATGTCCAAATTCAAGATCAACAGATTGGATTCCGTATGGATCGGTTGTTCACAGACCAAATCGTGACATACAGACCATCGTTGAGCAATCAGACGAATCGAAAGCATCGCTATATTTCACTAAGTTTCCTCGACTATGAGAAATCATTTGACATTGTGAATGGAAGAACTGCATGGAAACTTCTTCGACACTATGGTGTGAGTAGCTGAGAAAATTGTCAACATCATACAGAATTTATACGACGGACTACAGTACAAAGTGTTGAATGGATGACAGTTGACAGATGCATTCCATGTGAGTACCGGAGTCGAGTAATGCTGTTTACTCTCCCTCTTTCTTTTTGTTCTGGTGGCTGACTGGAGTCTGAAGACTTCAAGATCAGAGGAGAAGTATAGAATACGACGGACAGTTTGGAATGAACTAAATGATTTGGACTTCGCAGATGACCTATCCCTTCTATTCCATACAAACCAACAATGCAGATAAAGACAACTAGTGAAGCAGCAGCCTCGGTATCAGTAAGCCTCAATATATAAAAAAGAAGAAGCGAGATCCTCAAATACATCACAAAGAACACCAATCCAATCACCCATGATGGAGAAGCTCTGGAAGATGTGAAAACTTTCACGTAACTGGGAAGCATCATCGATGAACAAGAAAGATCCAATGTAAAGGCGGGGATCAGGAAAGTAAGGACTGCATTCCTACAGTTGAAGAACATATGGAACTCAAAATAACCAATCAAATTGATAATCTTCAATACGAAAGTCGAAACAGTCCTACTGTACGGAGCTGAAACTTCGAAAACTACCACAACCACCATCAAGAAGGTACAAGTATTTATAAACAGTTGTCTACGCAAGATACTCAATATCCATTCACCGGATACCATTATCAATAGCCTGCTGTAAGAGAAGACAAACCAGCTTTCAGCTGAGGAGTAAATTAAGAGAAGACGTTGAAAGTGGATAGGACATACATTACGGAAATTATCAAATTGTATCACAAGGTAAGCGCTAACTTGAAATTCTGCAGAAAAATGGAAAAGAGAAAGGCTGAAGAACACACTGAGTCGGGAATCGGAAGAAGACATAAAAAGAATGAATGGCAAGTGGAATCAACGGAAAGGTATTGTCCAGGAAAGATTTGGATGGAGAATGTTGGTGGGCGGCCTATGCTCCTTCACGAGGGGTAACAGGCGTAAATAAATAAATCCCAAAAAATAAGTTGGGATCCGTAGGAGTTATTTAGTACAATACATCTTTAGCAATTAATAAAAGAGTTAATTTTGCTCAAACCTTAACATGGCACTTGCTTCTTGTAATTCAAATCTAAAAATAACATAGCTCTTTAATGTGTTAATAAAAAGTTGGTTGTAGTACAAAGATAAGAACCCAAGTAGTTTGACATTATTTTTATTATTAATTCGTTGCTAAAGATAGCCTGTCAATGAACTTGTACACAGAAGCTAACATTCGTCTATCAAAAGATTAAATAGGATTTATGAGCTTTAGTGCCAATTTATACTTCTTTCTCAAAAGTATCACTAAGACTGAATGAAGGTTATGTTAACTTGAATGCATCTTTCTGTCCGATTAACCTGTTTACACTGGACCATTGTCATGTACTGCATCTCTACAGTTATTTACAAAGCGAGTAATAAACTATTCCAAATGTGATACATAGAGTTTTCTACGTTTAATATTCACTTATGAAACAGCTCAATAAGATCGTTTCCCAGTAACGAAATAACTAGCTGATAACGTTAACAAGACAAATATAAGTTTACTGTTTGAATGGAGCAACTAGACTGGTTTGAATAATTTTATATTACTGAGAAACAAAATGCCAGTATCAAATATTCAAATTAGCTCTATAATAAACCCATAAATCGGAACGGATTAACGAAGCTTTCAATTCTAGACGAAATCATGTAAAAACTACATAATAATTAAAAGAAACAAGATTGTAAACAAAAATTCGTCATATAGTTAATGCTATGTTTGAAGCGATTAAGAGTTCACTTAGTCTGAGAACGGTACAAGATTTGTGACCAAAGACCAATAAACTAGCTATTGTGATACGTCCCAGCCCCGCTAACTAGAGAGAGAAGTCGAAGTCCGTACGGGGAAGTATATTCCGCAAAAAGCCAGAAGTACGAGTGATAACAACAGACACAAATCAAAACGCATATATACAGCACAAAACCGTCCTTGAGAAGCGTTACAAAATGGCATACTAAAAGACACAACGGACCAATAGCGTTTAAGATTCTCCCAAGTGGGAAATATGGCATGAAGGTGAAAAGGGCGCTTTTGGTGAGAAAATAAAGAAATTCAAATTTTCCAAATAGACCCACAAAATTAGGACCTTTTGCAAGTGAGTTCTGGGGATCTAACGTCCCCAACAGTTAAACTATTGAGAAAAAAGTGATATCCATAAAATGAAGATGACAACAAAAACACCAGGGATTCAATTGAGTGTGAAAATATTTAAAATTTTATAGATTCACTTCAATTAATTACTGTTATACAAGCAGTCTTAGTGAGAGTAATGAACTAAATAGACAACTTCCTTGTCCATATGACAGTACTAAAGTAATCATTTGTGGGAACCAACTAATGTGGGCAGTGGACCATGATGAAAGTTAATAATTATGTTTTGAAAAGAGTTCCAGATTACATATTTGACTTTCACCAATATTGTAATAAAGTTGAATCTCAGTCACTGATCAACCTGAATAGCATTATTAGTTATCACAAAAATCCAACTTATAGACAGTATATACAATCACTTAATAATTAAACCACTATCAAGACTAATATCATCGCTAAATAGTTGCTGAAAGCCGATTCGAAGATCAGCAGTGACTCGTAATATAAATGAAATTGAGATGAATGAGAAGTGTTATGTGGTAGATCTGCAAAAGTGTACACTCACCTCTTCAATAAGATATAGTCTGTCAATAATTCGCGATTGAAGAGATTTTAACCAAGATTCAATTTCCCCAAAATGTTCTGAATCGGTAGATTTTGGTGATCGTTCACATAATTTATTATCAGATAACCTATCTGGAAAGCAGTTAATGCCTGATAGTTGTTGAGCCCACGAATATGGTCGTCCGACGAATTCGCATGCATTCCATGTAATCGATTTTTGTGAATTAGGAAGAAATAAAATAGGTATATCTGAACTACAACCACCGAAGCGAAGTTGATCACAAGACCATTGTAAACTGGACAAAAGCTGTTCAGAATTAAGCAAGCTACTATAAAAATACAATATACAAAAGTGAACTTCAAAAAAAGGATGGAACTAAATCTAACTTTACTTTAAATTAAACATACGAGGTACACATAAAAATCGTAACACTGTAGGCATGGTTAAAAGAGATCGGTTAAACGTTACAGTTCTTTCGAACTCATACCTGGACACTAATGGTTGAAGAGGGAACATTGTCAAAAGATTCTACCAATCTCAATTCATTTTTGAATTTCATCTGTGTAAGGAACAGGATGAGGGCTTCCCGGAAGTGACAAATACACTTAATTTTGATATGATCTAGAGTTAACACATGGAAGGCTCAGAAACATACACCCAATAAAAAACCACGTTATCTCGTATCCAACAAACAATCTTAACTGGTTTCAGACGTGTTCGCAAAATTTTACTTGGACTTTGTTATCAACTTGATTTATATCGATTTCACATCAAGGGGTGATTTGGCCGAAAATTACAGTAAGTAAAGGATACAGCAGTGTCTCTAGTATTACTTAAAATGGAAAACGAAGAAATATTTGGGAAACATTAGTCTAATTTTTCTGTTAGTGTGAAAAAATATAAACTTTAAAAAATGCACTTTTAGTAAGGTTTTCCACTGTTTTGTTTACCCTTGCGAGTTTATCGACCCTAACTACTTTAGGGCCGTGAAACATGGCCGGTAAGAGTAGAGGATATTCGCAAGTAATTAGTATTCGATCATAGGTATCTTCGAAGCATCGCTCGTATATCCTGGGACCACCGAGTAAGTAATACAGTTGTTAGGAAACAGGTACTACGTAAGGACGGCAAATCAATTGATCAAGTAGTGAAACCTCATCAGTTGAGATGGCTGGGACACGTGTTACGTAAGCCCAACGACCAACTGCCCCGACGTGCGATGTTTTCTGGTGTAGGAGTAGGTTGGAAGAAAGCTAGGAGCGACCAGACCAAAACATGGCACAAATCCATGAAGTCATTGACAAGTGGACTGAGCTATGTTGGTAGGTGTAGACTATCTGGTTGGGGTCCGCGAGATGATAGCAACCGAAGGTTAGAGACCTTGGATGACATGGCTTAAAATCGTTTGCAATAGCGCAAGTGCATCCATTCTTTGTGTTCTCCAAATTCTAATCTTCTGAATTCTCCTTGTATCTTTTTTCCTCTTTCCAAATATACTTCATTGTATTATACTCCTTGAATAGCATCTTCAAAACCTAATCTTTCCGATCACTGCTTACACTTTTACTACCTCTATCACTATGGGATTTGAATCGACAATTGTATCTCTGTGCTAATGTGGTATGGCAACTCGAACTGATGTATGTACGTACGAAGTTCTACGTTGTTACTGACTGACTGACTATCGACCCTAATATTTATTAAAATCTTGCAAACACAGAAGTTTCAACTAAGATTTGCCAGCCAACTCCTTAAATAACATTTATGGGATATTCAAGAGTACAGAACAACTGGGCATTGTGTTTTATCATACAACCATGAAACATGGACAAAGTTGATGATGTGTCAACTGATGTCACTGATAATAGTGCAAACAATATTAACTGTGAGGTTTAGGTGGGTTCATGAAAACTTATGCATCGAGATATCTTGGAGTTTGCATTAAAAATGCTAAATCAGTGAGTAATCAAAGGCCCAATGGTGCTTAAGCAAGATAAACATGAAGGAAATCTCAAAATGACGATATCGAAACATGGTAGTAAGTTATGAAGTCTTGACAGTATCTTAAACAGAATCCATAAAATACTATAATCCTGACGAAAATCAAACTCATTCACGTAAAAGTATCCAACCATTATCATGCTCTGTCGTATATCTGTCTTAAAACTAACAGCATAAGATGTGTAATTGTTTCTCTCTTGTTAACAGCTAGAAATTACAGTTATATTCAACGTATAACTAAATTATTCACTCATACAAAATATGACTTTTATACACAATCAAAAATGATAACATGAAATAGAAAAGTTTACTGTCCAATAATTACATGCTGTCAGCTACTCACTTTCCAGTTTTTGATCGGGGAAGTGAAGCAGTTTTGTCTGCTGAAAACTGTAATCTCACCGTTACCAGATGTAAATCTAACATCCAAGCGAATGATAACTTGATGCTAAAACCACGTTCACTCAATGGCATATCTACAGAAAGAAGGAAATTAATTACTTTTATAGGATGCTTGTCAATACATTTGTGTGAAATAAAACTTAGTTCGAATGAAACTGCAGATTTTTATTTTTATTTTCTAATTGAAGATAAGAGCGCAGTGTTCATATAGACGTTTCTCATGTTTGAAATGTAAACTTGCGTTAACCATATAATTTGACCCTATAGTAAAGAAGTACTGTTTTTCATAGTTGTTACGATTGGTGCAACTTCTATAAGTTTATAGTCAATGAAAAGGTGTATTTTTACAACCTGATTTTGTCAAAATATCTTCCAACTGGGTCATAATAACAGGGTAGTTTGAACACTAAAATTATCTTTCCCTATCAGACTTACTGGTATGAGAAGGGAATGGTAGGAGCATATAACTAAATAATAGGTCATATTGATTAATACTTACACAAACAAACATTTTATTTTATCAGTTAAAAAACTCTCATTTATCTGTTTATTGCACAAACTTTTAGTGCATAACGATATCCTTAAATATGAATTGAGTTGCATTTTAACTGTAAAGTAAATTATATCAAATTCATACAATTTGCCAATCACAATAATTCAAGTTGTAATCCCTACTTCTTGGGAAAAAAACTATCTACGGGTATAATTTCACCAACAACAAAAAACATGAAGGAATATGAAATAAATCTCACCTGAATTTTTAGGGACAGAAACCGTTAACGAAACAGTTAATGGATGGAATTTAATAGTCTTTTCATTGATAAACTCTTTATCTGTATCATCGATGCATTCTGTCGCATAACGTTTCTTCTTCTAATAAAAAGCAGAATCAGAGTTTTTGTATTTAAAAAAACGATTACTTAACAAGTAGTAAGATTTACATTCTCAAATGATTTACGCGTATGACTACCATTAGTATAAAGAATTGTCTTTATAAAAAAAAGTAAGAAATTCGGCGTACAACACAATGGCTAATGACATTTTATTCAGTTCATTAAAGTTATAACGGTCTATTTCTGCATATCGATGAAAAATCATAGAAATAATAGTTTCTATTAACTGTTAGTAATACATTATTATGGTTGTATAAACCCTTAACTAATCTACTGTGATAGTACACGTAAAATACAAACAAAAACAAAATCATTCCTTACCTTAAACTCAAATTCTGAATAAATTGATAACATACAATTATTAATTTTATAGTCCTGTGTTTACTTCTCCTTTTAGCTTTGCTTCAGTATTTTATTTGACTTGTCGGATCAATGTACTAATTTCTCGTAACATATTGTATTCAAATCAGTAAGTCAGTTACCTCAGCACTCATAAATAATAAGTTTATTTAGGTAACAAGAACCTCAAAACATGTTGCCACTTACACATATTAGACTAACAATCGGTGACTTCATGAACTAATTCTATAATGTTCCATTTTAATTTGAATATCGCATATAAAAAATAAAACTAGAACTAACGCGTTTTTTATTCCCCTCTCCATCATCTACATCAGAATCATCAGCTTCCTGTGGTGAAGACTGGGATTCCGTTTGTTCTGTTGTTTGATTAACAGCTTTGGCCAATTCCGAATCACCTTCGATTGATACAGAAAATTCTGATTTTTTTCCTACAACAAGAAGAACAACTCAACAAAATAGTTTAATTAGCAATATATTATTTGCATTCAAGTAGCTAATAACGGCACTATAAAAAATATAGTAAAGAAACTCCAACTCATGTTAGGACGAAAATCAGAACCTATTATATTTTAGCCGAACACATCAAAGAAATGAAATTGTAGTCGATGAGTTTTAGAAATACTAGGCTGTGTCACATTTTTTATTAGTTAATACATCGATCGGTTAAATTCACAACAAATAACTTGCTTCATTGATCATACAACAATGTTCAAATATATTTATTAAAACAACAATTACATATAAAATTACATTTCTCTTATTACAAGACTAAAAAACCTACCAAGAAAATACAGAAAAAGTGGGTGAGCAATCGTAATTTCAAAACAGTGAAAGTCAATAATAACTGTTCATATCCAATTTCTTTTTTGCCCAGAAATTTAGCTCGACAAGTGTTTAAACACTTTAGCTTTATTGTTACACACATGTATATTACATATGTTAGCGTTGTAAAAGAAGTGACTCTATAAAAGCTTAATATTCAGTGGGAACTTGTGGTGTCACAGTCACTATAGTCGGTCCCGACGAGAGCATAATTTATGGCAGAAAACATACAAAGTAAGAAGTACTCAATCGAATAGGATAACAAATAAAAAATGGTGTATCAGAGTAAATGCATAAGGAGTCTGGTGATCAAAAACGCGACTAGTGGGAAATTAACTCGGTAGTATAATAACGCCTTCATGTTTAACCTTATAAATAATGCGTTCAAGTTTTAGTATTAGTACGCAGGTAAAAGGCCTTAAACGGAATGAAAATCACGTCTAAAGTTTCATTAGCTACCGAACGACGAGTTGTTAGCCACTAGCAAAAACAAAATAAACCCATATTACATACGAGGAAGAACAGTGGACACTCACTGACAGATACAGATGAAGCTGACTTAACAAACAATGGTAGAAGTATACTACACTAACGGCCCCATATGAACCAACTAAAACTAAGAGATTGCTTTCATGATTTTTTCGTTAAATTCAATGCGCAGTGAGTGATAACATGTATCTTATTATAAACTAAGTAAAAATTGTTAGTACTTAATGTGATTTAATTCACAGTCAAAATTCCGCCTGGAGTTCCTCCGGGGGCTACTGCCGGTCCCAAGTCCGAATAAAGGAGGAGGGTTGGGCATGGGGTTAGCGTCCCCATCCCGTAGAAAACTAACTCGCTAAAAAAACGCTAACCAGAGAAAATTATTCAAACCTTTTAAACTCTGCCCTGGGAGTCAGAAGGTCTTCATTTAGAAGAACTATGATGCCTCATGATGAAAGCCGAATTCCTTCGGAAGTTACGAGGCCGATGCCCCTTCTGACAATCAGAGAGACCATTTATTTAGGTACATGGAATGTTCGTACAATGTGGGACACCGGAAGAGCCTTCCAAATTGCTGCAGAAATGAGAAGATACAACCTAGAGGTACTTGGGATCAGTGAAACACATTGGACACAAGTTGGACAACAACGATTAACTACAGGAGAGCTCCTGTTATACTCCGGCCATGAAGAAGAAAATGCACCACATACACAAGGACTCGCATTGATGCTGTCCAAACAAGCGCAAAACGCGCTTATAAGATGGGAATCTCATGGACCAAGGATCATCAAAGCCTCCTTCAAAACAAAGAAAGAGGGCGTTTCAATGAAAATCATCCGATGCTATGCGCCTACCAACGACTACAATGAAGACGCTAAAGATCAATTCTACAATAGGCCGCAGTCAATCATCGAGAAGTGCCCAACAAAGGACCTGACCATCCTGATGGGAGATTTCACCGCCAAGGTTGGAATGGACAACACTGGATATGAAGACATCATGGGACGACACGGATTGGAAGAAAGGAACGAAAATGGTGAGAGTTTTGCAAACCTATGTGCCTTCAATAAACTGGTCTTAGGCAGAACCGTATTCCCACATAAACGCATACACAAAACCACATAGACTTCACCGGATCACACCACGCAAAACCAAATCGACCATATTTGCATCAACAAAACGTTCAGGAGGACTATAGAGGACGTGAGAACCAAGAGAGGAGCTGATATAGCCTCAGATCATCACTTGCTGGTCGCCAAGATAAAATTGAAACTCAAGAAGCACTGGACAACGGGGAGGACAATATCACAAAAGTTCAATACGGCCTTTCTTCAGGATATTGAAAAACTCAACAAATTCAAGATAGTCCTCAGCAACAAGTTCCAGGCCTTTCATGATCTACTCAATGGAGAAGGAACTACTGTAGAGAGCAACTGAAAGGGGATCAAAGAGGCAATCACCCCAACATGCCATGAGGTCCTGGGTCACAAGAAGCACCATCACAAGGAATGGATCACTGTTGATACACTGGATAAGATTCAAGAAAGGAGGAACAAAAAAGCAGCAATCAATACCAGCCGAATAAGAGCAGAGAAAGCCAAGGCAGAAGCTGAATACGCAGAAGTAAACAAACAAGTGAAGAGGAGCATCAGAACCGACAAACGTAAATATGTGGAAGATTTAGCAACGACGGCGGAAAAGGCTGCAGGAGAAGGAAACATGAGACAATTGTATGACACGACAAAGAAACTCTGGAAATCGCCGCAAACCAGAATGACCAGTGAAAAGCAAGGAAGGCAAGGTAATCACCAACGTTGAAGAGCAACAAAACAGGTGGGTAGAAAACTCCAGACAACTCTTGAATCAACCAGCTTCATTGAACCCACCCAGCATCGAAGCAGCACCCACGGACCTCCCAATCAATATTGGCCCACCAACAATTGAAGAAATCAGCATGACCATCAGACAAATCAAGAGTGGAAAAGCAGCAGGACCGGAAAACATCCCAGCAGAGGCACTAAAAGCAGACGTAGCGGCAACTACAAGGATACTCCACATTCTCTTCAATAAGATTTGGGATGAGGAACAAGTACCGACAGACTGGAAAGAAGAACTTCCGATCAAAATACCGAAGAAAGGCGATCTCAGCAAGTGTGATAACTACAGGGGCATCACTCTTCTCTCAATACCAGGAAAAGTCTTCAACAGGGTATTGTTAAACAGGATGAAGGACTGCGTAGACGCCCAACTTCGTGACCAACAGGCAGGATTCCGTAAGGATAGATCGTGTACAGACCAAATCGCAACTCTACGGATCATTGTGGAACAATCAATTGAATGAAATTCATCACTCTACATCAACTTCATTGACTATGAAAAGGCATTTGATAGCGTGGACAGAACAACACTATGGAAACTTCTTCGACACTACGGCGTGCCTCAGAAGATAGTCAATATCATACAGAACTCATATGATGGATTACACTGCAAAATCGTGCATGGAGGACAGTTGACAAAGTCGTTCGAAGTGAAGACCGGTGTTAGGCAAGGTTGCCTACTCTCACCCTTTCTCTTTCTCCTGGTGATCGACTGGATCATGAAGACGTCAACGTCTGAAGGGAAGCACGGGATACAATGGACATCTAGGATGCAGTTGGACGATCTGGACTTCGCAGATGATCTGGCCCTTCTATCCCAAACGCAACAACAGATGCAGGAGAAGACGAACAGTGTGGCAGCAGCCTCAGCAGCCTCAGCAGCAATAGGTCTCAATATACACAAAGGGAAAAGCAGGATTCTCCGATACAACACAGAATGCACCAATCCAATCACAATCGACGGAGAAGATTTGGAAGATGTAAAAACCTTTACGTATTTGGGCAGCATCATTGATGAACAGGGTGGATCTGATGCAGATGTGAAGGCGCGGATCGGCAAAGCAAGAGCAGCATATTTACAGCTGAAGAAGATCTAGAACTCAAAACAACTGTCAACCAACAGCAAGGTCAGGATTTTCAATACAAATGTCAAGACAATTTTACTGTATGGGCAGAAACCTGGAGAACTACGAAGGCCATCATCCAGAAGATACAGGTGTTTATTAACAGTTGTCTACGCAAAATACTTCAGATCCGTTGGCCGGACACTATTAACAACAACGTACTGTGGGAGAGAACAAACCAGATCCCAGTGGAGGAAGAAATCAGGAAGAAGCGCTGGAAGTGGATAGGACACACATTGAGGAAAGCACCCAACTGCGTCACAAGATAAGCCCTCACATGGAATCCTGAAGGCCAAAGGAGAAGTGGAAGACCAAAGAACACATTACGCCAAAAAATAGAGACAGACATGAGAAGAATGAACAAAAATTGGATAGAACTGGGAAGGAAGGCCCAGGACAGAGTGTGTTGGAGAATGCTGGTCGGCGGCCTATGCTCCATTGGGAGTAACAGAAGTAAGTAAGTAATTCATAGTCAAGGATGTTTGTGTAGCTAAAAAGTATTTTCCCACTCGAACTCCCAGCTCCAAATCTCCAACCTAGCTTTTATAAGTTTAGAAACAAAGGTTTGGCAGAATATCATTGGATTATACTTGAGTTCAGTTCGTGATGAAAACCTTAACCTTTATCCATAACCACAACCCAATTACTAATACTTAAATTTCCTCCGCTTTTTATTATAGATCATGTAACATGTAAGGGTTCATTAATCATATAAAAGCTATTTTATTTATTTATTTGAACACATGAATATTGGTACAAGAGAGCGCCAATATATATGCGCCACAAAAAACAATGAGAATTCGAAGAGAAATAGAAAAAAAACTAAGGAGCGCAAAAGAAAAAGAGAACAATAACGAAGAGATTGGAGTAAGGTAGTGTGGTAGTAACGACGGAACGGTAAGGTACAATCAGAAGAAATCTTTCAGGTAAGGGAGACACAACCACTTTTTATGAAGAAAGTAAAAGAAAGTTACAGCAGGATCGCCACTGGCTTCTATTCTGAGCCATATTTGATAACGTCTCTAGCCACTGTGTAGCACCATCTCTCGGACCACAACCAGGGAGTCGTGAAGGACCAACACAAGCCAGTCCTTTGCAGCTTTCTTTCATACCACGACACCATGTCATGCACTGACCACCTCTCCGCTTCTTCCAACCAGTCCCAGAGTCGGCAAATAATGCACGGTGTGGAATTCTCTGGGACGACATTCGGAGAACATGTCCAAGCCACCGAAGTCGGTGTTTCAAGATGGTGACACCAATTGAGTTATCATCTCTGTGCCCGAACACACGATGCCGAACCTCTGCATTACTGACATGGTGTTGCCACTGAATGTCAGCAATCCTTCGGAGACAGCGATGATCGAACACAGGGAGTCGTCTAACGTCCTCAACTCGGAGAGGCCAGGTTTCACAAGCATAGAGCAAAACTGCTCTCACCGACGCGTTGTAGATCCGACCTTCTACAGCCAGACTACCATCACGAAGGCGCCAAAGATGGCCCAGATTGGCATAAGCCGCTCTGGCTTTCACTATACGTGCATTGATCTCATCACTCACACCCCCACCAGCACTTATGCAGCTACCCAGATACACGAACTTCTCGACTACGTCTATCTGCTCACCATCCAGGGTGAGTACAGGATTGGAATCCTGCCAGTCTTGTAGAAGTACTTTGCACTTCGAAGGTGCAAAGCACATACCATACCTACGGACACTGATTGCCAACTGATTAAGTGCGGATTGCATGCCTTGGGCATTATTGCACAGTAAGACAATATAATCCGCATACTCAAGGTCGAGAAGTCTTTCTCCAGGCAACAGATCCACACCGCCATTACTTACATCCATTAGAGCTGTTTCCAGAATGTCATCGATGGCAAAGTTGTAGAGGAATGGTGAGATTGGGCAACCCTGCCTAACCCCACTGCTCGAATGGAACAATGGACAGAGGTGGTTGTATGCCCTCACTTTGCCTGAGGTGTTTTTATATAGGGCGGTGTTCTAACATTTGGCGGAGGGTGAAGATATGATCAATACATCCTCGACCAGTATAGTATACTTCTAAGTCGATAATTGAACGAGGTATGTAATATTACCAGTTCGAACCCCGTCTTACCTACTACTGTTTAAACAATCAAATAGTATTACTAATCGTCACCATTACATCTCAAAATCGAAAGCACAAACAAATGTATGGTTGCTAAATTATATCCAAATAACTGAATATGCTACCCTCTTTTTGGTTCCGGAATGACTAAAATTCATCCAACTCAAATAAAAAAGTTTTCTGAACTACCTGACATAGATATGTATGACTTTAAGAGAGAATACAGAATGTACAGTGGTGAAGGTAGAAGAAACGCCAAATTATACTGTTCATTCTCGTTGGTAAATGGTAAGTCCATTAGTTCCTGGATAATTAAAGTACTCTAAAAATAGTTGATAAACTCCAATATGGTAAATAAACAACTTACTTCAGCAACATCCTTCAACTTTGGACCAAAACTAGCTAAATAATTCCGTTTTTTTTTAATGGTTTGTGAAGTAGATTCAACAGCACTTTTTAGTTTATCACAAGAGTCAGATAAACTGAAATACATTAAACTATTCAATAAAAAGAAAATTACGCCTTTCGTTGTTCAAGCTCCCAATGAAGACGCTCCAAAGTCTCCTGATGTTCTGATAAGCTTCCAACCTATAAATTTGTAAAATGCAAAGCAAAAACTACTTTGCGCCCAGTTTTCTCATAGAACTCTTCTACCGGAATTAATTTTATATCTTCATGTCGAGACCTATTGTAGTAGATAAGCAAACACTAATATACAACTCACCTAAATTCTAAACATGTTTGAATTTCATTTTCAAGGTGAGCGACTTCATATAAAAGATTCTGCAAACCTAAGTGTAACTGATCCACTTTATTCTTATTCTGTTAGAATTAAAATATGAAGTAATCTTAGCACAACTTCAAGTTACCTCCGCAGTTATTTCTCGAGATTTTCGAATCCTAAACTGAGTTCTTCTGTTCAACTCCTTGATAGATATCATCAGAAAGGCAAACTGCGAAGCATTAATCTGAAAACATTATCCAGGTAAGTGTATTCAATATACCTTCTCCTGTGATTTTTTACGCTGCCATGTATTTTTTATGAACTCGCGTAATGATTCACAACAATCTCGGAATTGTAAAAGATCGTGAGCACTTCCATCCAATTTCACAGAATTCTCTTCATGATAGAATGAATTTATTGACTTTGAATTCTGAATTAAGTGACTGAAATACTGATAATTGAATGCATACTTCATTATTGAGAGCCTCATCTTGCGATTTGCCTTTATTAGACATTATCCTGCAATGCGGCGTACAACGGATTATCCAAAGTTATGAGTATTATGTAATGAGCCACTAATGTTAAAAAATAAATTTAGAACCTATAAACAGAATCCAAAATTATTTTTCAAGTACAGATTTAAGTAGTCAACTATGAGTCACACTGTTTATAAGAAGCAGTGAAAGTCCCAGTGCTCTCAAATCGAAGTAGATGGACACTGATTCAAACCTGAGACTTGCTTGTTGGAAGCTGATCACTTTAACTACTAACTCATCACAATAAAATACAAGAAAACGTGATAAAACCTGATTAGATGATTCCATTAAATTCACGTCAGCTAGAAAGTATATCTAAATAAAATAAAACATGTAGAAACAAAACTAAAATATGACAATAGCACACATGATTTGCTCTTAAGTCTTCTTATACACTGAAATAAGATCAGTAGTTTCAGAACTGCAACAAATGAGTCTGGTATTTTTGACGAATTTAACTAAGATGTTACTTATATGTAGTAAGTTTTGATGTATATTTTATGACTCATTATCATTAAAAAGTACCATTAGACTTTGATTACATTTTCCTCTTTAGCTGCATAAATAAAGTTCAAATTAGCAGAAGATTAACTGAATACAACAATTTAGTAGTGAAATAACATTTTGGAATGAGGCGGTCACTGTCCTTATCTTTGAAGGAGACCTACATACTTTGAGCAACAATTGCTAAGGCATAAATCTCCCCCTCATTCCCCTAAAACTGTTGCACCCGTTATACTCCGCAAGTTATGCAAAGCTCATGAAAAAACTCGTAATGGGCAAGCCCGTTTTCCACGTATGTAGTATATGTATTGACTACGTTTCCATCCCCTGATAATTGCTAGAACACTACCACGCTTATTATAAGCCAATAACCGGCAAATCTTGACGTCAATTCTGTCTTAAGCTCAGTAGAAAAAGTCGTAATCTAGGATTCAGTGCCAAAGAATGTTTGAAGGTTTTATCAAAACACTAAAAACTCTGCACGCGAAAACTCTCTGTTACCATGAGTGGAGATCGGTAGTTAGCATGCAATACTCAGTCTTTTAGGTTTACCAGTATTTGTCATGAGTTTATAAAATATAATCCACGATAAACTAACTGGTCCTACAAGCAAACAAATATCGACGCAACGGCGTCTACATAAAGACTGGTCTCGTTTGAAAAATTTCTTAAATGAGATGGAGGACTCGGGTGTAAGCTTAAAATAACAATCCGTTTAGTTGAAAAGTCCTGGGTGGATTTACATTCTGCGTTGCAAATTACTCCGCCAAAGTCCAAATGTAAGATAGTATTTAACCCTATCGTAGATGGGAAAAGTTTGATCTCATCAAACATTGTCATGAGTCATTCGCTTGACTCCCACAACTATGTTACAAGAAAAACTAACGGTAGCTACTTCTATGAATCCGGTGTTCGTCTCGTTGTGCTAATGAGGTGTGGCAACTTGGACCGATGCATATATGTACCTGGTCTCACATTGTAGCCGACTGACTGACGAAGCTGCCAGAAGTTAACAGGCAGGATTTGACATCACAGTCGAAAGCCATGAACACCTACAAAGAAGTTAAACCCGTTCCTAGTTTAATTATTTGGAACCTAGAGGTTCCAGAACACAATGACCCTGATAAAAGACATGTACACGATCTGGAGTTAGTGGAATCTGCCATCAGAAATGTACTGTCAGAAGAGGTTCCAGGGGTACATATCACGAAAGTAAAGAAATTCGGTAAATGGGTTGGAGGACAGACCCAACCAAGAAGGGTCTTGAAGTTGGTACTCAGGAATTTCAATGAAAGAGACGTAATATTGAATAACGCATACAAAACTCGTAATTCGAATATTCGTATGCGACCAGATTGGTCGCTTGAGGATCGAATCAAGTGAAAAAATGCCTTTACGAAGCTAAAAACTCAAAAACTCAATGGCCAAAAGAACCTGACGATTCAGGGTTTTCGGGTGGTCAGGTCTTGGAAGCCAAAGATCTCGAGATTTGTATGGGTAAAAGGAATGATTCCCAAAACACCTTAAATGTGTGATACACGAACACCTGTAGTCTTCGAAACAAAACGTCCGAGCTAAGTTTGATGGTGGATGAATTAAGTTCTGATATAATTGTTGCCACAGAAACTTGACTCACCATAGATATAGACTGTTCTCCCACCATTGCAGGCTACATCTGTATTAGAAGTGATAGAGTTATAAGTCGCAAGGGAGGAGGCATAATGTTATGTTAGGGGTCACTCGTATACAATCAATTCTATTGGAGGCTCATGTTAGTGGTATATGTGAGGTAGCATGTTGTACAATTAATTCTAGACACGCGTTAGTGACTATAGGAGGAATATACCGTAGTCCATGTTGTCTTGTGACGACTTTATCTTAAGATACATCTATTCTTGGAGTAAGGTAGAATGTTGTTTCATCATTGGAGACTTCAACGCACCATATATCAACTGGATAGAGCTTACAGCTCCAGGTGAGGGGTTTCGATAGCGACCCTCTATCAACCATTATTCAGTGTACACTCGTACAATGTATCGCAAAACTCAGTCAGTTAGTCAGCTACAACGTAGGACCAGGCACATATATGCATCGGTCCAAGTTGCCATACCTCATTAACACAACAAGATGGACATCGCAAAACTGACACATGTTGGCTTGGAACATGACCCGTCGTTGCTGGACCTTGTCCTCACACACCACTGTGAGGATGTCATCGACATTCAGCACCTTCCCACCCCCCACTAGTGAATAGTGATCACGTTATATTTTAAGTCTCGGACATATGATATACAATTCGTGTTTGCTTCACCCCGTCCCAATATCTGGCGAGCTAATATTCCGGCAATTAGAGACTGGGTTATCTCGACTGACTGGTCGGTCGATGCGGATAAATCGATCGAAGACAAATGGAATAAGTTTAAGGCTACATTCTAGTTCGTAACATCACCGTTTATGCCATGGTCATCATGTAAGCTATCACATTGCCCTCCATGGATTAATAAGGAAATCCGGAAACTGTTGAAGCGTAAGAAACACTTCTGGGACTTATTCTTGTTAACAAAACACGCATCATTTAAGTGTGAATATAAAAATACCCGGAATATATGTAGAAAGACCATAGCTAAATCCCGTACTAATTGCGAACGATAATTGGCATATGAAAGGCGTACTTGTCCGAAACGATTCTTTCCGTACGTTAAACGGCGAACAAAACATAGTGACGGTATTCTCCCATTACTATTACATGAAAATTTAGATTTACTAGCTGAATCAGATCTGGAAAAAGCTGAGACATTCTCAAACTATTTTAGCGAAGTCTACTCCACGTGTATTGTTACAAATACTTGTCCCAATTACACCGAGATACCAGCAATAGAATCTGAACATGTGATTGAGGAAACTGTTCTTCCATTGACCACTAACTTCAAACTTTGTAGGATACCGAGTCCTGATGTTTTAAATCCACGAGTGCTGTCATCTCTTGCGAACATTAATTCAAGACCACTTGCGACGCTCTTCAACATATCCGTCTCACTCGCTTAACTCTCTAGAGATTGGGAAGATGCTATAGTCAGTCCTATATTTAAGGACGGTCAGACAGATCGTATCCAACTACCGGCCTGTCAGTCTAACCAGCATAGTCGTTAAGCTTCTTGAAAAGATAATTCGGTTTAAGTTACTAAGTCACATAGATTCACACAATCTGTTAACTCCTGAGCAACACGGGTTTCGTAACAAGCATTCATGATTGACTAACTGGTCTGCGTCAACACCTGAACTAAGGATAGGGAGTGAAGTGGTCGAACGCGTTGACAACTTCACTTATCTTGGAAGTCTGATCAGCCCTAATGGGTTGGTGTCTGACGAAATCTCAGCACGGATTCGAAAAGCTCGTTTGGCTTTTGCCAACTTACGTCACCTTTGGCGGAGGCGACATATCCGTCTATCAATAAAAGGACGAGTATACTGCGCGGCAGTCCGTTCTGTTTTAATTTACGGCAGCGAGACATGGCCCTTAAGAGTAGAAGACACCCGTAAGCTACTAGTATTTGACCACAGATGCCTTAGAAATATTGCTGGCATCTGCTGGGATCACCGGGTAAGTAATAGTGAGGTTAGACGCAGGGTATTAGGGAATGATGGTAAATCAGTTGATGAGGTTATGAATCTTCATCGACTGAGATGGTTGGGCCACGTATTACGTATGCCTGAACACTGATTACCACGACGTGCAATGCTAACCGGTGTAGGGGATGGTTAGAAGAAAGTTAGGGGCGGCCAAACCAAAACGTGGCATCAGTGCCTGAAGTCACTAACTTGTAATCTTAGCCATGTTGGTAGATGCAGACTACTTGGTTGGGTCTGCGTGACTATCGCGACCAATGGTTGGAGACTCTTGGTGACATGGCTCAGAATCGATCACAATGGCGTCGGTGTATACACTCCCTGTCTTCCCTTAAACTAAGAGATTAAAATCACTTCATATCTTTCTTTCTACGAACTAATTCTTTCTTCCTATACTATATCCTTATTGCAATCTTTCTCCTATATATTACCACCTTTGACCTAACCACTCCTATGAATCCGCTGTTCATCTTGCTGTGCTAATGAGGTATGGCAACCTGGACCGATGCACATATGTGCCTGGTCCTACGTTGTAGCTGACTGACTGAACTTACTTATTGCGAGAGAAGATTGGACAGAAGCCTTATATAACGTTCCGTCTGTCGATGTGATATTTACAGACTTTAGAAAAGCGTTTGACAAAGTTTCCCACTTAGGTCTTATGCAAAAGCTTTCGAGCTTCGGAATAACAGGTGCTGTATATGAATGAATAGGAAACTTCTTATGTGATCGCAGACAGTGAGGGTCAGTGGAACGCTATACGAATGCAAGCCGGTCAAAAGTGGTGTACACGAAGGTACCATCTTAGGTCCCCGACTTTTCCTTCTTTACGTTAATGAATTACCGCTATTGCTTAAGTTGCCGACATTGTGGATGATGTCAAACTCTGGAGAACAATAAGAAGTGAGGCTAATCATTTTGATCTTCAATCTGACTTAGACGAATTAGTTAGATGGGCTCGGGGTTGGTGCTTAGAAGTTAATTCTGGGAAGAGTGTGCCCATGCACATCGGATACTGTAATAGTTACCATTATACTATTGATAGTACATCTCTTTCATGCGTTCAAGAACATAAAGACTTAAGAGTAATAATAAGTCATGACTTGAAAACAACTACGCATTGCAACGCAGCTTGTGCCAAAGGTTATCGTGCGTTATGGTCACTTCGCCGAGCATTCAAATGCT